ACACATATATGTAAATATGTATATGTACACATACACATACACATATATATGTATATATATATATAATTTTTCTCTTTGGTAATTAAGGCATTATTTGGGGCTTCTGGCAGAAACACTTGACCTCTGTGGATGGTTAACAGAAGAACTTGCCTATTTCCAGAGAAGGTATTTCTATCAAGGGTGAGGAGATGGCAATTATGTTGTTGCAGGGGATTGTTTTTTTTTTTTTTCTTACCTGGCTTGTCTTTAACCCTTTTTACTGAGGAAGAGTCCACAACAAAAGTCTACACACAGATGCTCAGCAGAAGGGCACAACTCAATTTAGAGGATACTGAGAAACTGAGTAGAGGATGTATACCTCTGATGAGTGCTATTAAATCAGGAGCACATTAAAGATCACAACTTGACCTTTTTGCTCACAGATATAGATTTCAGTTTGACTCCTTGAAGATTTTTCAATCTTGGTCTCAAATCTTAGCAAACATTTCATTTGGAAATCCCCTAAATTGCCAGTCATATATCTTCTTAATCTCCTGAGTGTATAAATCAAAGCATTCACATGGAACAGTTTCTACATTTTGAAGTAATTATGTTCCTAAAAGGAATAAAGTGTACTGCTAACTCATGCCACTGAAAGCAACTGACCATGTTGGTCTTGACCCAATGGCAGAGGTCCCCAGTAAGTGTGAAGGGTAAGGTGAGTGGCAAGTAATGAAGGGGGGATTTTAAATTTACTTTTTTAATTCCTGAAGAGCTCGTGCTAAAACAGATGGAGCATAAATAAAGTTAAATTTATATATTAGATGTGTTTCTAGTGATATGAAGCACATTAAATATATAGATTATTTCATGAGTAACAGTCCAATCAATGCTTGCAAGTTTGAAGGAGTGTGATACAGAAAAGTAACATTTTCTAAAATCTTTTGATATGGTAGCATAGTCTACATGCCCACTGTTATTATTAGGTGCTATTGAGTTGATTCTGACTTATAGGAACCCTCTGGTAGCATAATGGCTAAGACACTGCCTGCTAACC